AGGCTTCGCGGGCGCGCGCGCAGGCTGACGCCGCAGCGAATCAGGCTGCGCGGCGCGACTTGGCATCGGATCTCTCGGGCGTCGCGCCGTCGCCGCGCTCTCCTGCCGATGAAGGATGGCGCTTAGGATGGCAAGTGGTCCCGGCAGGTTCTGGTCATCGACGCTGCGACGGCGACGGGCGTCGACGCTGCGACCAGGCTCTGAGCGCGTCGCTCGCGAAACTCTGGGCGATCTGGCGGCAGCCGCGCGGCGCCTCGTTGCCGGCGGAGCCGGCGCGACAGACGCGCGTTTCACAATGACGACGTCAGCGAGGCTCATAACATTCAGCCGCTGCAGGGCAAACGCGTCCCATTCGCGGCCGCTGCGGCGGCTGAGTCGGCGGGGCCGGGCCAACTTCTGCAGCTGCTCTGCTGCCCGTTCGGGGCGGAGGCAAGTGTCCGCGCGCGGCAGCCCGCGGGCGCAGCTTTTCAATGCGTCTTTCTTGGCCTGCCCAGAATTGTTCACCCGCGTTGCGCGCGCAATTTTTCGGCGCCAAAGCTGAGCGCGCACGAATGCAGCGACGGCGCTGCGGACGCCACCTCCTCGGTTAGAGTGGTCATTCAGGATATGCTGCGATGGCGACTAGATACATATTAAGCAGTGACAGATGCTCGCAGTTTCGTGGCGCATGGCGCGCGCGCGCGCCCACTGGCGCGGCCGCTGAGTGTTTCGATTTTCTCATCGCGAGCGAAAAATGCACCGACTGGCTAAATGAAACCGCCGAAGTTCTCAAGGGCCAGGAACCGACGCCAGCCCATGCGCAGAAGTTGACAGACAGGCTCAGCTGGGGAACTGCAATGGTCTTCGGAAGAGAGGCGCGGGCGCGCCTTGCGCCGCCTCCCCGGCGCTTGGCGGGGCAGAGCAAACGCATGTCGAAACGCCCGTGCAAACCACTTGCGGGTTGCAGCGTTACCTCTGCGCGCGGCCTTGCAGGTTTGCGCCGCACTCTCCAACGGCCAAGCCGCGCTTCATATGATATGCAGACGCGACCAGGGTAATCGCGCTAGCTTGGGTCGCTGCGCTTGCTGGTATTAAACTTTGTGCGTCTGCCCTGGTTACGGTTTGGCTCAGGAAGTAGTTTTGCTATCGGCGGCAGCAGATCCACGCGCGGAAGCTGGCGGCGGCGGCGCGCGCTTGTTCGAAGAAGCAGAGAGCGCGGCCGGACTCGACATTGTAATTTGTTTGGGTTCCACAATGGCGCTCGGGGCGCTGCTCCGCGGATGCTACCGCCGGCGAGATTGCAGCGCCACGATGAAACGCAGATGGCTCGCAACTGCGACCCGCGGCCACTTTTTGACTGCATTCCGTGCGCCGTCGCACTACGTGCATTTAAGCGGATAGGTCCACGCGGGAAGAACAGAAAACTCCAGAGATGGCGCAACTTATAGCTTCGAGTTTCGCCGGGGTCGAGCGGGGCTGGCCGCGTCAGTGGAGCTTTGGGAGGAGTGGGAACTGACAAGAATTCATCGCGGGCGGCAGAACAAAACATGTGCATCTCTGGTCCGCGGCCGCCGTGTCTCCACAATGGTCCGTGCCCTTGGCCGACTTGGCCCAGAATGGCAGCTGAGTTCGTTGGCTCAATGACCGCAGACGCAAGAGAGAGAAACAATGCAATGGCGCTGCTGGCGCAGCTGCTACAGGTGAGGCACTGGGCCCAGGCGGAGCCCGAATGGCCGCGCCACCTGCTGTTAAAGAGTTCGCCTCGCGCTCTGGCGCGCGCCGCCGCAGTGCCATCCTGGAGCTCCGGGCGACGTCCCTGGCGATTTAGCTGACGGCGGCGCCGTGGGCGGCGATGATTTGTTCGATGTGGGTGTACAGGAACTTCGGGACGTCTGGCTTTGTCTCAGTGGTCTGTCCGGTCGCTGCGGCGGCGGCTGTTGGCTGTCCTCAAAGCAAAGGAAAGCCAACCAGGACGCTGTGGACGTGCCGGCGGCGCTGGGATGCATCTGGCAGGCGAGACAACCGGCGGCAGAAACAGCGTTGACGGCCCTCGGTTTTCTGGCCGCGGTCCGCCTGCAACCCACTTTTGGGCCCAAAGGAATTGGCTGACGACGTGCAGGCGCTACGCCGCGTCACGCCTAAGGAGCTGCCGTTGGCTTGGGCGAGACGACGCGGCACCGCCCTGGGCAACCCCAGAGAGCGGGCTGCACAATTGAAGGACAAGACGAGATCTTGGCGGCTGGCATACAAAAACATGTAAATACGTTTCTGCGCGCGGTTTTGGGGACAAATTGCCCAGAACCTCGGACTAGCACCGTGATCGCCGGCCGAACCGGTTTTGGCGCCTTCGCGCTCGCGGTGCGGACTACGACCTCGCTGATGACGTATTGCAACAAGTCCGTTCGGCTCTCAGGTTGCTCCAGATACCGCTGGGGCGACTGAAAGACACGTCTGCCCTGGCGCGGGGCGCCACGAAGATTTCGTTGTCCACCGGGGAACATTGTCGGGCACGGGCCACAGCGCAGGTAACCCGAAGCCTGGTGGTCCATGTGCGGGACGGTATTATGGATCCTTTGGTGGCAGACTCATTCGTGGTTGCGAGACACTTCTGCTTGCGCTTCGCTTCAGAAGTGGTGCCCTTGGAGCGCGACGGGGTACACTCTAAGGTCGTGCTGGCGGTTGACGAAGGTCTCCCCAAAGCGTCTCTGTATCTCCACAAGCGAAATCTGCAGACGGAAACTGTGGTAATGTCGAGGCGGTGCACTGGCGCACTCCAGTCGCGGCAACTATGCGGGGTGTGCGTCCTCCAGTGCCGTGCCAGACAACGTCCACTCTTCCCTGGCTTGTCCTACAGGGCGGTGTTGGCCACGCCGAAAACAGCTGCGTTGGTTCTAGGCCTCGAGCGCGCGGTGAAATGAGGCACGCATGTGTTCCGCAGGGGCTGGGCGCACGAGTGCTTGGCAGCGGGTGGAGTGCCAGCCCTCTTCCACAAAGGAGGGTGGCGCAGCGTGGCCGCGTTCGGCTATGCTTCTACCATGCAAAATCTTGTTCCAGGACGCGACGGCAGAATTCGAAACGGCCTCCTCCTTCGAGAGAGCGGCATCAGACAAGCAATATTTAGCGATCTTACGGAACTGGCCTCCAGTTGTATACGCCTTGCATCTGGAACAGGCGTGCAGCAACGTACCGTCGGTGCAGGAAAAGACCTGAAGCGAGTGCTTACGCTGCCCAATCTCGAAGGCGGAAGCAGGCAGCTCCCCCGAAGGGAGGAGGATGGAAATTAGTTACAGGAATCACAATCGCTGACAAGCGATATCCAGTGATACTACAACATCCGTGCCCTAAACTCGCGGAGCAACTAGACGGCATGGATGAGTACGCGCACGCACCGGAGGAAGAACTCCACGAAATTCCACGTCTGACAAACACAACCGCCCAGCACAGAGCGAATGTGAAATATCGTGACCCAGCCAGCAATCCGCCGGCCCCCTTGTGGGGCCACCAGGCTGTAGGCCCGTGATTCGCAGTTTCCTGTACCAGTCGTAGGTTGTAGTTTCCAGTGTTACAGTTCTGCTTCTTGCTGGTTACTGTAACTAGTTGACTTATTGCTGGTTACTGTAACTAGTTGATTGACCGCGCGAGGGGGGGGGAGGCCCAAACCGGCTTTTTAGCACTGGGCGCGTTGTCTGAATTGCTGGGGGGCTCGAAATCGACACCCCTCACGCAGATCCGCGGGGTCAGGGTCCAAAAACACAGGGGGTGCCACCCCTCACGCAGATCCGCGGGGTCAGGGTCCAAAAACACAAGGGATTTGCAACATTTCTGAAATTCGGTGCCACCCCTCACGCAGATCTGCGGGGTCAGGGTCCAAAAACATGAGGGATTTGCGACATTTCTGAAATTCGGTGCCACCCCTCACGCAGATCCGCGGGGTCAGGGTCCAAAAACACAAGGGAACTGCAACATTTCTGAAATTCGGTGCCACCCATCAGACAGATCCGCGGGGTCAGGGTCAAAAAACACAAGGGATTTGCCACATTTCTGAAATTCGGTGCCACCCCTTACGCAGATCTGCGGGGTCAGGGTCCAAAAACACAGGGGATTTGCCACATTTCTGAAATTCGGTGCCACCCCTCACGCAGATCCGCGGGGTCAGGGTCCAAAAACACAAGGGATTTGCAACATTTCTGCAATCGGTGCCACCCCTCACGCAGATCCGCAAGGTCAGGGTCCAAAAACACAAGGGATTTGCCACATGTCTGAAATCGGTGCCACCCCTCACGCAGATCCGCGGGGTCAGGGTCCAAAAACACAGGGGATTTGCCACATTTCTGAAATTCGGTGCCACCCATCACGCAGATCCGCGGGGTCAGGGTCCAAAAACACAGGGGATTTGCCACATTTCTGAAATTCGGAGCCACCCCTCACGCACATCCATCGCAAGGCGTGGTAACCCAAACTGCGAGTACTCCCTCGGCCCTTTAATCCCAAGGTGTGGTAACCAAGCTCGTAAACCATACACGTCTTACCAATCGCCCTGTGTGGTAACCCCTCTTGTGATCAGTTGGTTTTGCCGATTGCGAATCGGCCTCGCATGAAGTTCCGATACTGCTGCACGACAGCGCCAAAGCCTCATGACTTAGCTCTTCCATGGCCCATTCTCCGAGAGAGGGGGCCGGCGGCAGGGGGCGAAGCCCTTACGGATAATTTCAAGCAGCGCGACGCACACCTGGAAGCCACCACCAAGCAACAGACAGTGTGAACATGTAAGGCTCACAAATTAGGAACAGCAGGGAGGGAGGGAGGGAGGGAGGAGGGAGAGGAGGAGGAGGAGGAAGAGGAGGAGGAAGGAGAGGAGGAGGAGGAGGAGGAGGAGGAGGAGGAGGAGGAGGAGGAGGAAGAGGAGGAGGGAGGGGGAGGAACGCCCAGGGGGGTGGAGGAAGAGGAGGGACGCTCAGGGAGGTGGAGGAGGAAGTGTGGCTGGAGGTGGGGAGGCAGGCGGAGGAGGGACGGAGGCAGGCCTTGCCAGCCCAGCAGCTGGCAGTCGAGGCCCACGGCCGCCGCGCCGACCCTCCACGGCCGCTCCGGCGCCCCGACGTCCCAGAGCTCCAGGAGGCCGCGCCGCGGGGCGTAGATCGCGAGGCCGAGGCCGCCGGGCGGCCTCGGGGTCCGACTCCCGTCCCCTCCCCTCCTCTCGTCGGATCGACCAGGAGGGGATACCATCTTGTGGCTTCCTGGAGCCTCCAGGGCCTTTTCCTCCTGGAACGTCCTGGGGTTCCCTGGATGCTCGGGCCTCCTGGGACCTCCTGCGGCCTCCTGGGATTCCGTGGACTCCTGGGGCCTCCTGGCGCCGCCTGGGGCCTGCTGGAGTTTCCTGGGGCTGCTCTGGGGCGTCCTGGAGTCTCCTGGGGCCTCCTGGCGCCCCCTGTGGTTTTCTGGTGCCTCCTAGGGCCTCCTGGGACCTCCTGGTCTTTCATGGGACCTCGTCGGGTATCCTGTGGCCTCGCGGGGGGTGGCCTCCTGGCGCATCCTGGCGCCTCACGTGACCTCCTGAAGCATCTGGGCCGTCTTGAAACATCCGGGTTTCAGCGGCTTCCTTGCGATGCATCTGGGCCGTCTTGAAACATCCGGGCTTCAGCGGCTTCCTTGTGATGTATTACATCCTCTTCCTCCTCTTCTTCCTCTTCATCCTCCTCCTCCTCCTTTTGCCCTCTTCCTCCTCCACTTTCTCCTCGTCGTCGACTTCCTCGCCCTCCCCCTCGAGTGCGTCCGTTCTCCCCCCCCTTCCAGGAGGGAAGCTGCGAAAACGGACAACGAAACACTCGTTGTGAACAAGTGGTTCGTTGCGCTGTGTCGAAAAAGCGACAACGCGGCTGGCGATCTCCATGCCGCGGCATCCAGGGGGCCTCGCGGGGTGGCCTCATGAACCTTCTTAGCACATCGCGGGGTGGCCTCCTGGAGCCTCCTGGGGCCTCGCGGGGTGGTTTCCTGGGGCCTCCCAGGGCCTCGCAGGGTTAACGGCGATGCCCTCTTGGTGCCAATGGGGGATCCAAGCTCTTAGCGCATGCGCGAACAAATTGTTCATCGAATACACGGTTTTGTAATGCGATGTTCAAGTGCGCGTGTGTGTGTGTGCGTGTGTGAACAAAGATGTGTGTGCACATGCGTACACACATCTGTACGTATAGGCATAAATTTAGATGTGAAGCGCGAATGCAAAGCGAGCGTTCTTACATTTTTCATTCAAGAACGATCATACAACAGCACCACGAATGTTACGAATGACAACTACAGCAAAAATGATGACATGTGTGTATGTTTGCGTATGCATATATATATATATATATATATATATATATATATGGGCGCTGGCCTATTCCCCCCCTGCTGGAATCGATGGTTGCTTTTTTTTCCAAGTAAACTGACGACGTACCACGCGACCCATGAGCGACCACGACGTCGCGCGCGGGCCCCCGAGCAAACCTTCGATGACAACCTGCAAAAACAACAGAGGTAGTGTGCACTTCGAGCAGCAGATGGAACTGAGCAGACATGAAAAAAAGACCGCGCGACCCATGAGCGACCACGATGTCGCGAGCCCCTGAGCCAGGGCCCCGCGCACGAGCCAGCCTGAGCGATGCGCCCTCACTCCCTCGCCTAGACCTGAGCCTAAGCGTAAGCCTAAGCCTAAGCCCAAGCCCAAGCCTAAGCCCAAGACTAAGCATGAGCCTGAGCCTGAGCCTAAGCTCAATCCTAAGCCTAACTCGGCATAAGCCTAATCCTAAGCCTAAGCCCAAAGCTAAGCCCAAGCCCAAGCCCAAGCCTAAGCCTAAGTCTCAGCCTAAGTTGAAGCCTAAGCCCAAGCCTCAGCCTAAGCCCAAGCCGAAGCCTAAGTCCAAGCCTAAGACCACGCCTAAGCCTAAGCCTGAGCCTAATCTCAAGCCTAAGCCTAAGCCTAACCCGAAGCATTCGCCTAAGCCTAAGCCTAATCTAAGCCTAAGCCTAAGCCTGAGCTGAGCCTAAGCCAAGCCTATGATGAGCTTATGCTAAGCTTATGATAAACTTAATCTAAGCCTAAGCCTGAGCCTAAGCCTAACCCCCAGCCCAAGCCTAAGCCTAAGCCTAAGCCTACGCATAAGCCTAAGCATAAGCCCAATCCCAAGCCCGAGCCCAAGCCTAAGCTTAAGCCTGGGCGTTAGCCCACGCCTCAGTCTAAGCCTAAGCATCAGCTCAAGCCTAAAGCCTAAGCCTACGCCCAAAGCCAAAGCCTAAGCCCAACCCTAAGCCCAAGCCTAAGCCTAAGCTCAAGCCTAATATCAAGCCTAAACCTAAGCCTAAGCCGAATCATAATTCTAAGCCGAAGCCGAAGCATAAGCCTAAGCCTAAGCCTTCGCCTAAGTCTAAGCCTAAGCTACGCCTAAGATAAGCCTAAGCTAAGCGTAAGCTAAGCCTAAGCGAGCCTAAGCTAAGCCCAAGCCTAAGCTGAGCCTAAGCGAAGCCTAATCATAAGCCTAAGCATAAGCCTATGCTAAGCCTGCGATAAGCCGATGACAAGCCTAAGCTAAGCCTAAGCTAAGTCTAAGCCTAATCATGAGCCTAGACATAAGCTTAAGCCTAAGCCGAAGCACCCAGCCTTAGCTCAAGCCTACGCCAAATCCGAAGCCCAAGCCTAAGCCGAACCCTAAGCCTAAGCCCAAGCCTAAGCCCAAGCCTAAGATAAGCCTAAGCCCAAGCCTAAGCCCAAGCCTGAGCCTAAGCCGAAGCCTAAGCTCACGCCTAAGCCTAAGCGTACGCCTAAGCCTAAGCCTAAGCGTAAGCATACTCATAAGCCTAATCCCACGCCTAAGCCCAAGCCTAAGCCTAAGCCTACACCCAAGCCTGGTCCTAAGCTTAATTAAGCCTAAGCCTAAGCCTAAGCTCAAGCCTAAGCCTAAGCCCGAGCCTAAGCCCAAGCCGAAGCCTCAGCCTAAGCTCAAGCCTAAGCCTAAACCTACGCCGAGGCTTAAAGCCTAAGCCTGAGCCTAAGACCTAAGCCTAAGCCTAAGCCCAAGCCTACGCCTCATCATAAGCCCAAGCATAAGCCTAAGCCTAAGCCTGAGCCCAAGCCTAAGCTTAAGCCTAAGCCTAAAGCTTAAGCCTAAGCTTGGGCATCAGCCTAAGCCTGGGCCCAAGCCCAAGCTTAAGCCTAAGCCTACGCCTGCGCCCAAGCTCAAGCCTAAGCCTAAGCCACAGCTCAAGCCCAAGCCTAAGCTTAAGCCTAAGCCTAAGCCTAAGCCCAAGCCCAAGCCTAAGCCGAAGCCCAAGCCTAAGCTCAAGCCTAAGCCTAAGCCCAAGCCTAAGCCTAAGCCTAATCATAAGCCTAAGCATGAGCCTAAGCCCACGACTCAGCCTAAGCCTGAGCCCAAGCCCAAGCCTCAGCCTAACGAGGCCTAAGCCCAATCCTAGGCCTAAGGCCAAACCTAAGCCCAAGCCTAAGCCTAAGCCTAAGCCCAAGCCTAAGCCTCAGCCTAAGCTTAAGCTAGGCTTAAGCCCAATCCCACGCCTAAGCCTAAGCCGAAGCCTAAGTTCAAGCCTAAGCCCAAGCCTAAGCCAAATCTTAATCTCAAGCCTAAGCATAAGCCTGATCTTTCGCCTAAGCCCAAGCCTAAGCATAAGCCTAAGCTCAGCCTAAGCTAAACCCAAGCTAAGCCTAAGTTGAGCCTGAGCTAAGCCCAAGCCTAAGCCTAAGCTAAGCCTATGATAAGCTTATGATAAGCTTATGATAAACCGAATCCAAGCCTAAGCCTAAGCCTGAGCCTAAGCCTAAGCCCAAGCCTAATCCTAAGCCCAAGCATAAGCCTAAGCCTGAGCCCAAGCCCAAGCCCAAGCCCAAGCCTAAGCTTAAGCCTAAGCCTAAGCCTAAGCTCAAGCCGAAGTTCAATCCTAAGCCTAAGCCTTAGCCTACGCCTAAGCATAACCTAAGCCTAATTCTAAGCGAAGCCTAAGCTAAGCCTAAGCCTGGGCCCAAGCCCAAGCTTAAGCCTAAGCTAAGACTAAGGCAAGCCTATGCTAAGCCTAGGATAAGCCGATGATAAGCGTATGCTAAGCCTGAGCTAAGCCTACAGCCTAAGCCTAAGCCTAAGCATAAGCCTAAGCATAAGCCTAACCCTAAGCCCCCGCAGCCCAAGCCCAAGCCTACGCCCAAGCCTAAGCCCAAGCCTGAGCTTAAGCCTAAGCCTAAGTTTAAGCCTATGCTCAAGCCCAAGCCTAAGCCTAAGCCTAAGCTAAGCGTAAGCATAAGCCGAAGCCCAACCCTAAGCCTAAGCCCAAGCCTAAGCCTAAGCCCAAGCCTAAGCTCAAGCCTAAGCCTCAGCTAAGCGTAAGCCCAAGCCCAAGCCAAAGCCCAAGCCTGAGCCTACGCCAAAGCCGAAGCTCAAGCCTAAGCCTATGCCTAAGCATAAGCCCAATCATAAGCCTAATCCCACGCCTAGGCCTAAGCCTAAGCCGAAGCCTAAGCCTACGCCCATGCGCTCCCCCTCGGAGTGCTCGGGGGCACTCCGCTGCGGCCTGGAAACGTGGAGGCCTGCTGCTGCTACCTTGCGGCCAGCGCCGCTTGCGATGGCCGACTCGTGGCGGGGGGGGGGGGGGGGGGGCGCCCCCCCCAAAAAAAAACTTGTTGAACGGTCAACGTTTTTTTTTTGTTGCGCCCCCCCCCCCCCCCCCCCCCCCCCTCCCCCCCCACCCACCGCCCGCCGCCGCGCGAACCCCCGCCATCATCGCTGCCCTGGCGGAGCGGGCGCCCACGGGGCGGCTGAGATAGCGAGGTGAGGGAACGTGTGGAGGGAACGGGGAGCACGAGTATGCACGCACATACATACATGGGCCCTGGCCAAGGAGATGAGTGTCCAAGGACCTCCGAACAAACGAAACGACTTCCCCCCCCCCCCCCCCCCCCAATGCGTGCGCGAAGCGTTCGCGGTGGACCGAAATCCCTCCAAAACGAAATATCGATTCCAGCAGGGGGGGGGGGAATAGACCAGGACCCATATATATATATATATATATATATATATATATATAGGTGTAAGTATACACTTCTTTTTTTATATATATATATATATATCACGTATACCATGTACATGTTGAACCAATCGGTACGCGTGTCCAACAGGGCTTGGCCCC